TGTATATATGAACTGACTGGAGTGTGTTGCATTTAAACATAAATATCAAATGGAAAAATTAGTTTTTCGAAAATCAATAGGGAGTAGGTTTTTTTTTTCTTTCTGGTTGTTGGATAGCAGGAAAAAAACAGGGATTACTACATTAGCAATCTACTAAACCTTATCTGCTTGCCCTGTGTATTCAGACTGATATGTCCACCTCTGAGCATTTCCAGGGCATCTCAGAGCACATATGAAACTGTAATGTACTGCAGCTGTAAAGTGTTCATTCTGCTGTATAGGATGGATCTTTGAAAGGCTGGTAAATATACACCTGCATCTTTGCTGGTCAGCCTGGAGAGTGCATTCAGTAGTTGTTCCTCTGGACCACGGAGCTCCACGCAACAATAGTATGAGAGGTCCTGAATGAAACAACAAAGAAACATGTAAAAGAAATAAATACATGAATCAAGAAAGAGGGAAAAACAGGAAAAAATGGATGAATGTAGAATAGCTTGAGAAGCATAGAAAGCAGGGTAGTAACTGGGTAGTAAGGCTAAAAATTGTTTAAGAAGCCAGCGACATTAATGCTACAGCTGAGAGTGATTATTGGGAGATAAACAGCAAGCTCACCTGCAGCAGACAGCCAGAATTCATGGCCCTATAGCTGGCTCTGTAGCACTTGTATGTGGGTCGGTCTCCAAGACAGTAGCCCCATTTCTTCAGCATGTGAAAACGCTTGGCATGCCAGATGTGAGTCTCTAACCATTTATTCTTACGCTGCCGTCGGTTAAACTCCAGCAACAAGTTGCCATGGCGGCGGCGGGCACGCCGACTTTTGGTCTTTGACTGCTTTTTTTTCTCTTTCTTCCCTGCCTGCTGACTCTTCTCCAACTAGACAACAAAGATAAGTTCACAGCACTACAAGCACAGTTTCTACTCACACACACCAGCTATTACCAATAACCCAAAATAACCCAATAAGCCACAATATGGTGCGCGTTACTGTGATTCATCACAAGTAAAGGTGTTCTTAGGCATGACATGAAGCAGAGTAAAACCCCCTTAGCAATAATAAAAATCACTGTAACACACACCCTTGAGTGGCTTAATGCTTTAATTAAATGGCAACAAAAAGAGTAAGAAAACAATGATAAAAAACAACTTATAAGATAAATTTATCAATTATTATTAATTAATAGATTTATTAACTTATTTTATTAATACTTTTCACAAAAAAATTTGCCATGCAATGTAGTCTGTTAACAGTAAACTATTGTGATGTGGTCACAGATGTGTGTATATTAAGGCTTCAAAAGTGGCTATGATCAGATTTTAGAACCAAAACGATCCATTTTATAATCTCCCCTTGAGTTGATCAAGAAAAAAAAAAAAAAAATCAACCCATCAATCCCAGATGATGAGCTGGTGCGTATCGCATGCATGAGATTGTTGGGAATGGTCCAGTAGGATTGCTCAGAACATTCGAGAGCCAGTACAAATTTATTTTACAAACAAAATATTCAAAATAATTAGGTACATTACTTAAATCTGTGCAATAATAAAGTACAGAATGCTTTTTAGTTAGATCCATAGAACACATTTTTAATAAAAGTGTCATTAGATGCCAGTTGACATTACTTACTGGCATACTAATTTTAACATCACCGCAACAAACTTAGAAAATTACAGGCCCTACTTTGAGATCCTAGCAAGAAAGTCCGTACCATTCTCTGTGCCATCTCTCTCAGTCGGCAAGGCAATCTCTTGGTGTTGTGGCTCATGGCTCTTCGGCGCATATGCTTTGGCAGAGCTCCAAATACCTGAGAGCTACCTGTGGTCTTTGTGACAGCCCTCAACATGGCATTGACTTCTGCAGCTCGTGCTTTGGCAAAGAGTGATGCTGCAGGAAAAAATGTAAAAGCCAGATTCAGCAAAGAAGGAGAAAACATGACTGGCACACAGAAAGAAGAAGGAAGAGATAGGTAAAGTGAAGATGGATCAAAGCACTTAGTTTAAATGCTGTTTTACTGTTCAGATCAGTTACCAGTGATGTATTTGGGCAGTGCCTGCTCATGTCTAACTCCTCCATCCTGATGCCCCCTCATCCAGCTGCTGGGGTGCTGTGTGAGCCCCCTCATCTGCTGCTGCTGCTGCGAATCGGAACTGCGACCTAAATATAATGAGATGTGTTTCACTATAAGTTTTTTAAAAAAAACACACACACAAAATGGGGGGTATTTTACAGTTTTTCTTACCAACCTGTGTGCGAGTAAGTCACATTACTGGGCTGATTTCTCATTTTCTTATGTCGCATTCTGTCTTTGGCCCCCGACATCTAAGGCAAACAGAAAGATCACATATGAATCTTTGCAGGAAATTTGCGCACACATCATGTCTTGTCTTCTGCTTGAGTTGTTTGGCTGTACCCGGCTAACCACTTAAATCGCACATACGAGCACAAACTACCGAACTGTAAAATACATTTACCAGATTATAACCTCCGTTTACATCAGACATGAATGTCCAATACTTACTGTGTATGTTGGTTTGATCGGGAAAACCTAATTAAGTAAGAGTATAGAGTGATCCTGTCCTGCAGTCCTCAGCACGCCAGCGCTAAAAAACCACGTGTAGCAGCACTTCCGCAACGCGCTGCTCATGGGTAATGTAGTACTGCGGCTGTGTGGCTCGTGTAAAAATCAGGCTTTCATGACAAAGTTGTTTACATTCTTTGAATCATCTTTGTCTTACTTTATAGTGTAGCTTATTCAGCAGATGTTACGTCTTGTATTGTGGTGTACAGCTAGTCATTTTGTGTTATTAAGGGTTTTGTGTGAGGGGGTGGCTGAATGTGAAGGCTACCTACTGACAAGAATATCAGTGTGTGGTCAGATGATGACATCAAATTTACAAGCTCTGTGTAATCCAGTGGAAACCAAGTGGTTTAACAAACTCAATTCAATTCAATTCAAGTTTATATGTGCAGCGCTTTTAACAATGGACATTGTCACAAAGCAGCTTTACAGAAATAAATACATTCAAATTAAATTAAACCAAATTGTAAATATGTGAATTTATCCCTTATGAGCAAGCCAGAGGTGACGGTGGCAAAGAAAAACTCCCTGAGACGATATGAGGAAGAAACCTTGTTAGGAACCAGACTCAAAAGTGAACCCATCCTCATCTGGGTGCTAATGGATAGTGCAATTATACATAAATCTTCTCTATAACCGTGTACTACATGGACAAATAGTGCAGCTGTGCAACCAATAAATTCATCAGGGTTTTCACAAGAAGTCCGGTTTGTTACACCGATCCACTGTCCACTGATGGAGTCCTGAGTACGAAGCTGCTCATGGCAACTGCAGCCCCAAAGCCACCACAACAATCGCATTCCCAAGCCATCACAGTACAACTCCCCATATGAGATCCCCAAGCCATCTCCACGGATGATTCTCATGATGAAATATTGGGACAACCAGTTAAAATACACTATGGCAAAAAGTTCATGGACACTTGACCATCACACCCATATGTGGGCTCCAAACTGTTCCCTCAGAATTGGAAGCATACAGTTGTATAGAATATCTTTGTATGCTGTAGCATTACAGTTTGCCTTCACTGGAACTAAGGGACCAAACCCAAACATGTTCCAGCATGACAATGCTCCTGTGCACAAAGCAAGGCCATGAAGACATGGTGTGGAGTGGAACAACACATGTGGCCTGCACAGAGCCCTGACCTCAACCCTACTGAACACCTTTGGGATTAATTAGAGTGCTGCAAATAAAAATAATAAGAACTGTAAACATTGTGAACATTGTATGCAGTCAAAAAGTGACATAATGCTAGATATTGCACATACAGTACTCTAAATATTAATGTATTCTGAGCAAGTAAATATAAGAATAAACTATAAACATTGTAGATGTTACAGTGTGGGACATGGTGGAAGATATTGCACATACAGTACAATGACAGAGTCTGATATCAGTCTGTCTATCAGTCAGAGTCCAGTGTAAATGTAAATGATAAAGTATGCATCGTGTGTTGGGGGATTTTGTTTTATTAATGTATTAACTGTATACTGTGACATACTGTATGCGCCATGAAGCAGCAGGCGCGTGGGTGGGGTTAAAATAAGCGCAGCCGCTGGGGGGCGTCAGAGACATCATATGGCTTCACTTTTCAACCGCTGAAAACTCCAGCTACATACGCTCTATGGATTCTCCTTGATTTCGTAGTTTCGCTGATCTCTGTTTCCTTACTCAGCGTATATGAAATATAGATCATAGTATCTGCACAAGTTCTACTTTATTGAAACTCATTCCATCACTCCCAGGACGGCTTTAGCTCCGGAGCTAAAAGAAGAGTTTTAACTTTGTTTTTGCAGCTGCAGAATGTGACGGAGAAGAGGAATTTCCGTAAGTGGGATACATGAGCTATACAGAACAAAACAAAGCTAACCGACACCGACGGAGATCCACAGTAAGCTAATTTATAGCATACACTGTGTATTTGGCTCTATGAGGAGTCAAGAAAACACGAAAAGTGCGACTGCTTTGAAATGGTCGACATGAGACTTCCGTGCGGGACAAAGAAAACATCCGCTCTGTCGAACTTCGCCTAAATGATCAACACTAACACTCGACTAAGCTCATTCTTGTAAGCGTGTAGTGTTCTGTGTATTTTGAGCTGATAACCCTATCAATGTAGGCTGCTGTAATTATACACTCTGTATGTATATCTGACTTAAAAACAACCAACTTCAAGGCGTGGACTGAAAACGAACTTCCCGACATTCCAGCATTAGCAGCATGTCTGAACCAGTATCCTGTTAAATCCTGTATGTTTCATCTCCAATTCTAAGTATCAGCTTCCGGTCTCATTTCCCATCAACAAAGATAAAGAATCAATACAACTCAATTGAAAGGTTAGTGTTATTTTGATAGTCTCAGGGCATTTATTAGGTATGTTTATGCTTTATTTATTTATTTATTTTTTTTTGTTTTAGCCTTGCGCTGGTAGCTCAGTGGTTAAGACGTTGGGCTATTAAGCTGAAGGTTGTGAGTTCAAATCCCAGCACTGCCAAACCCCCAGGCTTGGGCCCCTCAGCAAGGCCCTTAACCCTTAGGTGTATAAATGAGATAAATGTGAGTTGCTCTTGATTAGGGTGTCCGCCAAAAAATGTAAAACCCTTTTTAGCTTATATGTAGAAGTTTAGTGTGATCACATTTGGCCAAATTTCACATTCGTCTCACACCACAAATCCGCCTATATAAATGGCTGTTTCTGAAAACGTATTTCGTATTCAGAATTGTGTGCACCTTTCTTAAGACTGGATGATTTGACATATGTTTAAATTGTGTTGCATGCTTACTGCATACTGTAATTTCCATGACTCTGTTGTGTGCCTCTCTGTTTCAGACTCCCCTGTGTGTTGGAGTGATTAGTGCATGAATCTGGCTTGTGGTCACAAAGTCGACGTGCTGCTTGTCTCCATGGATACAGCCAGATCTTTTGCCCAAAAGCCTACCAAGATACTTTTTCCGTTGTGCCCATGTTAAAGGACTGAGCAATTTTGGTTTTGTACAACAGAGCTAAACAGTGTGGAGTAGCTATTCACCATGTGGAGTTGCACCTGGCTCTGGCTGGGTGTGTGTGTGGTGCTACTAGACACATGCCTGGCACATAGCTTGTTCACGTGTGAACCGGTGCAGGTGCAGTGGTGTCACAACATGCCGTACAACATGACCTTCTTCCCTAACATGCTTGAGCACTACGACCAGGACATTGCTGCCAGCAAGATGAAGGTAGGGCTTCATCTTAACACTAGCCACAATAAAATGTATGGTATTTGTGTTTACTCTGCTCTCAGTAACCCAGTGTTAGGTATTGAGTGACTGTGACACTGTTTCAGCTGTCATTAGTCAGTCATTGGTCATCTACCAATTCTTGGTGTGACAGACACAGTAAAGGGCTGACTGGGTTTTAACTTGCCTAACCAGATCCAACAAACTTGGGTCAGATATCGGCAATAAGTGGCACATAATCAGTGCTGCATGAGTAATCACATGAGAGAGGGGGGTGACAGCATCCAAATGTCCCAGTTTCCCATAACCCAGGTCTGCACCATTACAAAGGAGAAAGGCTATTTAACAAAATACCCGACTAAACAAACAGGTTTTCAACATAGACCTAGAGATTGAGACTGTATCTGAGTCCCGAACACTAATTCATAAAACATTGTTCAATAACTGGGGGCTTTGTAAAGTGCTTGCCCCCTGCTATAGATGTCATTATTCTAGGTACTGATAAAGAACCTGTACCTTTTGATCAAAGCAGGTGTGGTAGATCATAATAGACCAATATTTTAGTCAGTTACTGTGGGGTGAGACTATTCAGTACTTTATATGTCATTAGTAGTGTTTTGTATTTCAAATTATATTTCATACACAAAGATAGGGGCATTATGGTCTTTCTGGTTCTAGTAAGGACTCTGGCTGCTTCAGTTTGACTAACTGGAGCTTGGTTATGCACCTACTGCAACATCCAGATAACAAGCCTTTACAATAGTACAATCTAGAGGTAACCAAAGCATAAACTAGTTTTTCTGCATCATTACAGACATTATATTTCTTAGCTTAGCAATTTTTCTGAGAAAGGAAAAAAGGCTATCCTAGTAATATTATCTACATGAGCTTCAGTTGCAATACAGGAGTCTGATACAGTAGAGGTATTTAAACTGTTGGGCATGCCTCCCCCCTAGTGGGGCGCAAAGGAATTGCAGATGGGGTGCAGGTGAGATCAAAACTACCAACAAAAAAATATAGAATATTTATTTACATATACATATAATATTTATTACACATTCGGGTTTCGTCTGAAAGAGAAAAAAAGATGTTAACTTTGACCAAAAACTTTAAATAGGTCTACAACGAAGTGCAAAATCTTCACAAATAATGTTGATGGCAATTATAATTGCACAGTGATTTAAAATGGTGACTGCAGGGCAGTTTCTTGCTATAAGTGGTATAAGCCATTGCTATGGGCCCCACGATTTTTAAAATAGATATACAGAAAAAAAACAGTTTACTATCATTTGGCGAACAGGTTTATGTATCATGCAGTTGCATGGGGCCCCTTGTAGTCTGAAAAGAATAGGCAACTAACATAAGAAGTGTCAGACGATCACAAAGAAGGGGTGATAATGAAGTGTTTATATCTATCTGGGGCAGAAAGACACAAAAAGGAAACAGCAGAAGAGGAGAAATGGACCGAAAACAATGATAGGAAATTAATGCTAATTGATTGGATTTAGTCAATTTGTCTGTTTTTTCACACTTCTGCTTGCTGATGTAATTGAAATGAAAAAAATAATGGTTAACTAGATAGCTAGTATTTAGAGTGCACACAAAGCCCACAGCCTTCATTTGGTCCATGTGAACTTAAGGTGTTTTCACACTTTGTCCATTTCAGTGCTCCAAGTGATCTCAGATCTAGGGAAGTAACATAATGACATGTCTTTGACACAGAAAAAGTATGTTGAATTGCACTAATCGAAAAACAAATGCATTGCATTAACAGTTCTTGCATTTTAATGCATTGTATGCTTTGATCTTCGGGTGTGGACGAAGACCAAAGCAACAGGTAGAGCGAGGCCTTCCTGAGGAATCAAATAAAGACACTGAATATACATGTAAATGCTGCTTTTGTGTCTGAATCAGCTTTTTCGCATATATACTGGCCCTGATAATGATAAATAACTTGTGCTTTCTGCTTGGTCCATTTCGGCAAATTAAATTGTGAAGGCCTTGCTCTACCTGTTGCTTTGGTCTTCTAGTGTCTTCTAGTGGTCTTCTGCTAGTTGAGACTGACTAGCAGCAGGTGGAGATTATGCGTCGGTACTCTACTGTGTTTCCTACAATTCCCGGATATGAATATCCAACCGAATTTGAACCACTGAATTTGTGAAAGAAATTTGTACAGTGAAATGAAATGGACTGAAATTTTCCTGTCGAATATTATAGGTGGTATTTTTAAACAAACTGAATATTTTGGAAATGAACTTTGGAAGGTGAACATTGATTATACAACCATGTTGAATTGCAGCCCCCAAAAATTTTTCGATTAGTTCAGTTCAGCATGCTTTTTTGTTTCAGAGACATATGTCATTATTTTACTTCCATACAGACTGATGACTCAGCAGTGTTTGTGCATATGTGAACGCAACAGATGAACTCAGACCCCTCTAAAGTGACCCACAAGTGAACCATACTCAGACCACATTCAGAGGTAGTCTGAGTATGGTTTTTTTGTGGTTCGTTTTGTGGTCCGCTTGATTTGTGCATTGCGAAAACAAAGTGGTCTCAGTTCGTGTCACATTTTGCTTTATAGATAAAGAACTTGAGAGTTGATGTAAATACATAGCTCCAGTTGTCTTTCACCTAACAGAAAACCAACTGGCTTTCCATGGGGTCATGTGGTCCCACAACAAGGTCAGCAGTGTTAAGTGGCAACATGACAGATAAGCTAATAGAACCACTGTGGCACTAGCAATTATGCTATAGAGCTTAACTTGTTAGGCAGCAGTGTTGTGTCAGTGACAAGAACTCTGTCTGCTCTGCTCTGTTTCTCAGCCAAATCGTACCATTTCAGCCAAATTATAGCATCATGGAAGCAACCATTTTCAATGACACTATTTAGTGTTACACATATTCACTTTTAAACTATGGTAAAGGAGTGTGTTGTGCTTTTGCAGTAGACTCTGTGCAGCTATCAAACAGTTCAAACAGAAAGAAGAAAAAAATGCATCATCCCAGTTGGCTAATCCTGTTTCTCATCACAGCAGCTGGTATCCAATAAAATGTGACTAAACAAAGGAATGCATATGTAAAAAAAAAAAAAAAAAAAAACTTTTATTATACTCAGTATAATAAATGTTATTATCTAAGAGTGCATACATTTTAATAGTTTCTGTTCGCTCTTCTTTTGCCTAGAAACATCATTTTATAATCGTAGGACCTAGATTATTGGTGTTAGTTGATAGAATGTGTGAAAAATAAGTTAAAAAAAAAAAATTTTAGACTTCAGTTACAGCTCTTGAGGGTTTCACAAATGTGCTGATGTGGCCCAGGCAGATTTTGAGTTTGTCACCCCTAAGCTAGAGTTAGCTAGTATCAAGAATCTTGTTCAGTTGTTTTTATTTTTTATTATTTATTAAAACGTTTTTCCCTCATCAAAGGTAATGAAGTATTAATTCTCTTCTTTCTTGCTGGTAAAATAATATGACTGAGGTGGTGGAGGGGCCCCTGAGTTAGTTGTTGCTTAGGGCCCCATAATGCCAGGAAACAGCCTTGGCTGTTTCTTTGCTTTGCTCTCCTGTACTGTAATTATGCCATCTACTCTTCAGAATATTTGTGCAAGTGTGCATTACAGTTTATAGTAGCCCTTTTGCGAGGGGGCACAGAAAACGCTGTGCAGTCTTTCAGCTTCGTTAAACACATCCTACCGAAAACATCTTATAAGTATTCAGACTTGTATATTTATGGTTTATATTTATGGTGTATTTATATTTATGCTTACTGCACAGAAAGCTTTATTAACAAAAACGTGCAGAGCTTAAAAGAATTAAAAATAATATAGTTGCCCCTCAGAAACTGTGGGCACTGAGCCTATATAATGCTTACTGCACAGAAATGTCTTGGTATTATAGCAAATTAAAATTAATTCATAGTAAATATTTATTCAGTCACATTAAATCATATAAACTGATTGGGGGCTTGTGCCCCAATTTCTCAAAACCTGGGAAGTGAGCTCATGGGGAAAAAGTTGAATACCTACTGCCAGTGATGTAACTGAAAGGCCATACTATATAACAAGAATACTTATGTCTTGTCAGAATTTAGTAGGAGGAAGTTACTCAGCATCCAGTGTCACATTTCCTTTACACATTCCTCAACTTTATTAAGTTGATGACTTTACTAAAACATATACTAGCTGTATGTCTTCGGCATAGCAGTGGAAGCTAACATCATCTTTACGAATAATTGTACCTAGGGGTAGCATATGTAGGTAAAAGAGCAGTGGG